TCTGACGTAATAGTTCCCCCACTCTATTTCAGATCTATTAATGCACTTAATACTTATATTTCATGTCCTGAAGAACAGTTCTCCCCACACACGTACACTGGGAGAGCATGTTAACATCATGCAAACAAAAAAAATAAACATGTTAAACCAGCAGGTCAACTTTATTTTATATACAATGAAGACAGTGATGGAGGTAGTTAGTGTTTGTGAATTTGCACTCACCTGAAGATCAAACATTTAGAATGTCATGCAGCATCTGTGAAATCTTGCTGGTGTGTGCCACTTTCTCTGATATGGTGAAACTCTGCACAAACCTATAAAACCACAAACACACACAAGGGTATAACCAACAATGTAGAAAAGAGAAAGCAGAGTCTGTGTCCTGTTATGTGAGGACACATCACACATCTGGCTGTTCAATTGAATAGAAGTTACCTTAAGTGTTGAGGCTCACTCTTTTGTATTAATCATCCAGCTCAGCCTGCAATTAAAGAAAGTTTGTAAAGGTTTACTACAAGTTTGTAGATTGCTTTTTTAAATGTAATATATTGCAAAATTAATGTCTGTGTTTTAGCTTTAACTTATTTTTGGATTAATACTCTTAGCAGCTAGTTGTTTAAAAACAGACCAAATAAAAATCACATTTACCAGGGTATTTCCCCCCAAAAAAACATTGTATGGCTAAGATGATCATAGAAACATTTGCCACCAAATGGTCTCAACAATCGACTTAACGTTAGCTCACAATGCTTTTGAGAAACGCAGCCCTAAACATTGCAGTTAACAGCAGCGACATTCAAAATGTACGTTAGGACTGCATTTACTGAAAAAAATGCCGGCTAACGTTAACATTAGTGCCCTTCTTTGACGCTAATATTGTACTATAAGCAGTGATGCTAAAATAGCATTCAAAATGCGCATTGAAAAGCACTAGGAAAATGCCGCACTTTACAGCACTGTGTAAAAACAGTGTTTCCCAAAAATGAAAACATTCCTTTATCATGATATTCTTACAACACTCAAAAAGCAAATAAGAAATTTTCACAGTTGTTTTGATTTACTTACAAGTTGTTCCATTAAGTTTGCTCCGGTCGCTTGTGATTATCCGCCATGTTGAATAGATTCTTCTGAACGTCGGTTAGAGCAACGAGGTGACGTCACTTTACGTCACTCAGTAAACTTAAAAATAATAATTTTAATAGAAGAGTTTACTCAGAACTGTTGAGCCACACAAAAATAAAACAAAATTCCTCGTTCAGAAAATGTAATTGTTATAAGTTGCATTAACGATTTAACAGACTTTAATTGCAGTGTTCTTAATCTTTATAATTAGCAGTACTGTTCGGGTTTACAGTGTACCTAAAACGGCTCGTTCTAACACGCCCCCACATATCTACGTCGCTATGTGGGAAGATTTGCATAACACCGCCCAAATGTTCACGCAAAGAAAGAAGGCGTAACTTTTATTCTCGTTGTAGTATTGTTGTTGCCGCCGCCATGTCGTGAAGGCGCTGTGTGCTTCATAGTGAAAGTGAAACTACTTTGTTTGGCCTTCCAAAAGAGGATGATATCTGCTTCGTCATGCCTGGAGCTGATCCGTGCTGGTTGCTGAGGAAATACTACAACTTTGCGCTGTGGATCGCCGGAACGGCTTTCACCGTGGACAAAGCGGAGTCCAGCCCGGAGTTGTCACATGTCCTTCTGGACGCTCCTTCGTCAAAATTGCCGGCCGCGCCGTTCTCAAGCCCACCCGCCTCTGCTCACTCTAACCCTCCGCCCGTTCCTCACGCTAGCCCCTGGCCTCTGCTCACTGTAGGCCGCCGCCGCTCACTTTAGGCCACCGTGTGTGACTCTATTTCATTGTGAAAGCGAAACTACTTTGTTTGGTTTTCCAAAAATGGAC